CCATTATTTTTAAACCCCTCAGTAAACTTGCCTAAGGTTGCCACTCAGATGTTAATCTCTCTACTCTCTTCCCAGCTTTTTCTGCTCATCTGGTAACTGCCTCCTCTCTGCCCATAGCACAGTCTTAGCACTGGTGGTATGAGAATCTTCTGCTCTGCAGTTCCTGCATCCTGGAGCAGCATTCCTGCATCTTGCATTCATTCTTCATCTATTTTCAGATATCTGGAGAAATCTTTCCTCACTTTTATATACCTCTAAAAGGTATTCTCCAGAGAAGAAAAAGGTTGTGCCTTGTTTTGTTACAGTTTATAAAGAAGGGCTGAAGACATTTTAAAATATAGGTTTAGATTTTTTTTCTCCCTTTCCAAAAGAACCATTTTGACCTCTCTAATTTTACTGGAAGACACATGGAAACAAGAGAACTAGTGGGAGTATAATGCTACAAGAGCATTATACTTGTATAATGAACAACTGAAACCTGAAACCTGAACAACTGAAGGCAGAGATTTTTAGTCAGGTTGTTTCTCCCAACACCTATTTAACTCAAGCTCCTAACAAACACTTTTTATAAAAACTCTATTTGTGAAAGATTCAACATCCTCCACACGTGCACTTTGTCAGCTGATGGCTAAGAAAATTCCCATTCCAGTTGTCTGGTCCTCTCCTCCAGCAAAAACAGGGGCAACAAGTGGTCATAATTCTGATAGTCCTAAAATACAAACAAGAGGAGAAAGGCTGGTCCTAAGCCTTCAGTGGCCTTCATGCAGTCAGACCTCAGTGCCCATACAGAGCCTCATGACTTCAGTTTGGACTCCATGTGGGTGCAAGGGCCTGCCTGCACAGATCTCCTTCCAGGATCGGGGCCTTTATTTGAAAGAGAAAAATAACCCATGCCTTCCGGGCCTTTTTTTCCTATTCATCACAAAATTAAATAAAAAGATCACAAACATATTTTCTCCAAATTAATCTTTCAATTTTCTCTCCTTCTGCAATTGTTCTGACTTGTTTTAACTTATTCATCATCCAGTAGCTCTTCTCTGCCACGTCCAGCAGAAACACTGTTAACTTCAGCATTAACTGCCAGTGAAGGCTATAATACTCTCCAACTAACTAGTATTATCAAGCCCTATTAAGGCTTTGGGGCTAAAACTACATGGTGTTGGTCTACAAAAATAAGGCCCCGATTCTGCTATCTGCTCCATCCAGGCAGACAACTCCCCTCCTGCTCTTTGACTTCAGTAGGCTCCCCTGTGCAGATCAGATTGTGGGATCAGGTCCTAACATCGTACTGAACACTGACAGATTCTAAATACCTAGTTTAAAATAAATAAAATCTACTGATTAATGTCTGAGAGATTAAACTAATACAACAGATAGTTTGGTGGAGCCCATAATACAACCTATGATTATGCTCCCTCAGCCCTGTTTTTGCAATTTGAGGTTAATCTGGAGGGTAAGTGAAAAACAGAGAGAGTGTGTGTCATTTGTGGAGAAAAGGTAACAATGAATGAGTAGCATGGAATGAATGGAGAGAGAATAAGTGAATGAAGGGATTGGTAGAGAAGAAGTTGTTCTTATGATTATTTCTGAGGGTGGGGATGGAGTAAGAGGTGAAGGAAATAGGACTGGGAGAGACTGTACTTGTAGGTTTTACATTTATGCTTGGGTAGTCATTTGTTTTGTACACAGAAAAAATTAGACTAAACATCAATTTGGGGAGGTGTTGCATAGTCAGGCAAAAAGTGGATGTGTTCAGGATGGATGAATAACATGCATGTTTAGTCCCTCTGCTTTTGTCACATTGTGTCACAGATTTATTTTCACTTAAGCTTGGTTGCTTGTGCTTATTATTTATATTATAGTAGCACCTAAAGACCCCAATCGAGATCAGGACCCCACTGGGCTAGGCAGTGTACATACAAAAGGTAAGAGACAGATAGCCCCTGTTCCATGGCTTCATCCCTTGCCACTAAATAGATATGACAGTGACAGTAATATCATCCTTTTAGAGAGAACTGAGGAACAGAGAGATCAAGGTCCAATCCAAAGCCCATTGAAGTCAATTCAATCAGCCCCCTGTTGACTTCCCCAAGGCCACACAATAAATCTGGCCACTGAAATATACTAACACAGATAAAGACAGTTGCTTCTACTGATTAAAGAACAGATCTTAGCTTGCAATCCTGGTTCAGACAATGGATCAGTATGTGACCTTGGACAAGTCACTTAACCTCTCTGGTAAAATGGAGATTTTAATACTACCCTTACAGAGCAGTTATGAAGATTATCAACTAATATACAAACACTTTGGGTATGTCTACACTACGGAATAAGGTCGAATTTATAGAAGTCGGTTTTTTAGAAATCGGTTTTATATATTCGAGTGTGTGTGTCCCCACAGAAAATGCTCTAAGTGCATTAAGTGCATTAACTCGGCGGAGTGCTTCCACAGTACCGAGGCTAGAGTCGACTTCCGGAGCGTTGCACTGTGGATAGCTATCCCACAGTTCCCGCAGTCTCCACTGCCCATTGGAATTCTGGGTTGAGATCCCAATGCCTGATGGGGCTAAAACATTGTCGCGGGTGGTTCTGGGTACATATCGTCAGGCCCCCCTTCCCTCCCTCCCTCCGTGAAAGCAAGGGCAGACAATCATTTCTCGCCTTTTTTCCTGAGTTACCTGTGCAGATGCCATACCACGGCAAGCATGGAGCCCGCTCAGGTAACCGTCACCGTATGTCTCCTGGGTGCTGGCAGATGCGGTACGGCATTGCTACACAGTAGCAGCAACCCATTGCCTTGTGGCAGCAGACGGTACGACTGGTAGCCGTCCTCGTCATATCCGAGGTGCTCCTGGCCACGTCGGCTGGGAGCGCCTGGGCAGACATGGGCACAGGGACTAAATTTGGAGTGACTTGACCAGGTCATTCTCTTTAGTCCTGCAGTCAGTCCTATTGAACTGTCTTATGGTGAGCAGACAGGCGATACGGATTGCTAGCAGTCCTATTGCATCATCTTCTGCTGGGCAGGCAAGAGATGAGGATGGCTAGCAGTCCTACTGCACCATCTTCTGCTGAGCAGCCATGAGATGTGGATGGCATGCAGTCCTTCTGCACCGTCTGCTGCCAGCCAAAGATGTAAAAGATAGATGGAGTGGATCAAAACAAGAAATAGACCAGATTTGTTTTGTACTCATTTGCCTCCTCCCCCGTCTAGGGGACTCATTCCTCTAGGTCACACTGCAGTCACTCACAGAGAAGGTGCAGTGAGGTAAATCTAGCCATGTATCAATCAGAGGCCAGGCTAACCTCCTTGTTCCAATAAGAACAATAACTTAGGTGCACCATTTCTTATTGGAACCCTCCGTGAAGTCCTGCCTGAAATACTCCTTGATGTAAAGCCACCCTCTTTGCTGATTTTAGCTCCCTGAAGCCAACCCTGTAAGCCGTGTCCTCAGTCGCCCCTCCCCCTGTCAGAGCAACGGCAGACAATCGTTCCGCGCCTTTTTTCTGTGCGGACGCCATACCAAGGCAAGGATACAGGCCGCTCAGCTCACTTTGGCAATTAGGAGCACATTAAACACCACACGCATTATCCAGCAGTATATGCAGCACCAGAACCTGGCAAAGCGATACCGGGCGAGGAGGCGACGTCAGCGCAGTCACGTGAGTGATCAGGACATGGACACAGATTTCTCTGAAAGCATGGGCCCTGCCAATGCATGCATCATGGTGCTAATGGGGCAGGTTCATGCTGTGGAACGCCAATTCTGGGCTCGGGAAACAAGCACAGACTGGTGGGACCGCACAGTGGTGCAGGTCTGGGACGATTCCCAGTGGCTGCGAAACTTTCGCATGCGTAAGGGCACTTTCATGGAACTTTGTGACTTGCTTTCCCCTGCCCTGAGGCGCATGAATACCAAGATGAGAGCAGCCCTCACAGTTGAGAAGCGAGTGGCAATAGCCCTGTGGAAGCTTGCAATGCCAGACAGCTACCGGTCAGTTGGGAATCAATTTGGAGTGGGCAAATCTACTGTTGGGGCTGCTGTGATGCAAGTAGCCCACGCAATCAAAGATCTGCTGATATCAAGGGTAGTGACCCTGGGAAATGTGCAGGTCATAGTGGATGGCTTTGCTGCAATGGGATTCCCTAACTGTGGTGGGGCCATAGACGGAACCCATATCCCATTCTTGGCACCGGAGCACCAAGCCGCCGAGTACATAAACCGCAAGGGGTACTTTTCAATAGTGCTGCAAGCTCTGGTGGATCACAAGGGACGTTTCACCAACATCAACGTGGGATGGCCGGGAAAGGTTCATGACGCTCGCATCTTCAGGAACTCTGGTCTGTTTCAAAAGCTACAGGAAGGGACTTTATTCCCAGACCAGAAAATAACTGTTGGGGATGCTGAAATGCCTATATGTATCCTTGGGGACCCAGCCTACCCCTTAATGCCATGGCTCATGAAGCCGTACACAGGCAGCCTGGACAGTAGTCAGGAGCTGTTCAACTACAGGCTGAGCAAGTGCAGAATGGTGGTAGAATGTGCATTTGGACGTTTAAAGGCGCGTTGGTGCAGTTTACTGACTTGGTTAGACCTCAGCGAAACCAATATTCCCACTGTTATTACTGCTTGCTGTGTGCTCCACAATATCTGTGAGAGTAAGGGGGAGACGTTTATGGCGGGGTGGGAGGTTGAGGCAAATCGCCTGGCTGCTGGTTACGCGCAGCCAGACACCAGGGCGGTTAGAAGAGCACAGGATGGCGCGGTACGCATCAGAGAAGCTTTGAAAACCAGTTTCATGACTGGCCAGGCTACGGTGTGAAAGTTCTGTTTGTTTCTCCTTGATGAAACCCCCCGCCCCTTGGTTCACTCTACTTCCCTGTAAGCTAACCACCCGCCCCTCCCCGCCTCCCTTCGATCACCGCTTGCAGAGGCAATAAAGTCATTGTTGCTTCACATTCATGCATTCTTTATTCATTCATCACACAAATAGGGGGATGACTACCAAGGTAGCCCAGGAGGGGTGGTGGAGGAGGGAAGGAAAATGCCACACAGCACTTTAAAAGTTTACAACTTTAAAATTTATTGAATGCCAGCCTTCTTTTTTTTGGGCAATCCTCTGTGGCGGAGTGGCTGGTTGGCCGCTGGCCCCCCCACCGCGTTCTTGGGCATCTGGGTGTGGAGGCTATGGAACTTGGGGAGGAGGGCGGTTGGTTACACAGGGGCTGTAGTGGCAGTCTGTGCTCCAGCTGCCTTTGCTGCAGCTCAGCCACACACTGGAGCATACTGGTTTGGTCCTCCAGCAGCCTCAGCATTGAATCCTGCCTCCTCTCATCACGCTGCCGCCACATTTGAGCTTCAGCCCTCTCTTCAGCCCGCCACTTACTCTCTTCAGCCCGCCACCTCTCCTCCCGGTCATTTTGTGCTTTCCTGCACTCTGACATTATTTGCCTCCACGCATTCGTCTGTGCTCTGTCAGTATGGGAGGACAGCATGAGCTCGGAGAACATTTCATCTTGAGTGTGTTTTTTTTTCTTTCTAAGCTTCACTAGCCTCTGGGAAGGAGAAGCTACTGTGATCATTGAAACACATGCAGCTGGTGGAGAAAAAAAAAGGGACAGCGGTATTTAAAAAGACACACTTTATAAAACAGTGGCTACACTCTTTCACGGTAAACTTTGCTGGGAACATTACATACATAGCACATGTGTTTTTGTTCCAAGGTCGCATTTTGCCCCCCCCAGCGCGTGGCTAGCCCCTCCACCCTCCCCGAGGCTAACAGCGGGGAACATTTCTGTTTAGCCACAGGCAAACTGCCCAGCAGGAATGGGCTCCTCTGAGTGTCCCCTGAAGAAAAGCACTCTATTTCAACCAGGTGACCATGAATTATATCTCACTCTCCTGAGGATAACACAGAGAGATAAAGAACGGATGTTGTTTGAACGCCAGCAAACATACACTGCAATGCTTTGTTGTACAATGATTCCCGAGTACGTGTTACTGGCCTGGAGTGGTAAAGTGTCCTACCATGAAGGACGCAATAAGGCTGCCCTCCCCAGAAACCTTTTGCAAAGGCTTTGGGAGTACATCCAGGAGAGCCGCGAATGCCATGGCAAAGTAATCCTTTCACATGCTTGCTTTTAAACCATGTATAGTATTTTAAAAGGTACACTCACCGGAGGTCCCTTCTCCGCCTGCTGGGTCCAAGAGGCAGCCTTGGGTGGGTTCGGGGGGTACTGGCTCCAGGTCCAGGGTGAGAAACAGTTCCTGGCTGTCGGGAAAACCGGTTTCTCCGCTTGCTTGCTGTGAGCTATCTACAACCTCATCATCATCATCATCTTCTTTGTCCCCAAAACCTGCTTCCGTATTGCCTCCATCTCCATTAAAGGAGTCAAACAACACGGCTGGGGTAGTGGTGGCTGAACCCCCTAAAATGGCATGCAGCTCATCATAGAACCGGCATGTTTGGGGCTCTGACCCGGAGCGGCCGTTCGCCTCTCTGGTTTTCTGGTAGGCTTGCCTCAGCTCCTTCAGTTTCACGTGGCACTGCTTCGGGTCCCTGTTATGGCCTCTGTCCTTCATGGCCTGGGAGATTTTGACAAAGGTTTTGGCATTTCGAAAACTGGAATGGAGTTCTGATAGCACGGATTCCTCTCCCCAAACAGCGATCAGATCCCGTACCTCCCGTTCGGTCCATGCTGGAGCTCTTTTGCGATTCTGGGACTCCATCATGGTCACCTGTGCTGATGAGCTCTGCATGGTCACCTGCAGCTTGCCACGCTGGCCAAACAGGAAATGTGATTCAAAAGTTTGCGGTTCTTTTCCTGTCTACCTGGCCAGTGCATCTGAGTTGAGAGTGCTGTCCAGAGTGGTCACAATGGAGCACTCTGGGATAGCTCCTGGAGGCCAATACCGTCGAATTGTGTCCACAGTACCCCAAATTCGAGCCAGCAAGGCCGATTTAAGCGCTAATCCACTTGTCAGGGGTGGAGTAAGGAAATCGATTTTAAGAGCCCTTTAAGTTGAAATAAAGGGCTTCATCGTGTGGACGGGTGCAGGTTTACATCGATTTAATGCTGCTAAATTCGACCTAAAGTCCTAGTGTAGACTAGGGCTTTGAGAGTCTCTGAATGAAGTTATTAATACATAGTGCTTATCTAGTTATTATTAGATTGGCAGGTTGAAGCATTTTGGCAGGGCCATGTGTGTCATGTTGATAGGAGGGATCCATTTCCAGTGCTGGCAGTTTGCATCTTTCACTAACAATAAATTCACTTTAAACAGGACAATTCCTAATATATCTAATTTGTTAGATACTTTTCAACTTTACCTTCTCTTTTACACTTGGCGAAAGCTACTCCTATCACAACTAAACATAGCTGATCAATCAGAGTTGTATAGACAAGATGAACCATTCCTTCCATTCCTTTTTTACTTTGGGTATATATCATTGTAACTCTTTGACTTCACAATTTACTGTTTGCAGCAAAACTTGATGAGGAAAAAATCATTTTACTTTTCAAAGATGGCAAACAACAAACTGGATCATCACTGAGCAGTTTAAATGTAAACATACAATTTTTAGCAAAAGAGACTGTTTTTTACTGGAAAATTAAAGTGGATCAACTCTGTGCAGGGAAAAACAAATCCCAGCCAAGGAGATAAGTGTCTTATCTTGACTTTCTTTGAAAGTCATGTGAAAGATGTGTTATAATTGTGGCTTTGGAGAAAATATACTTGAAATCATATAAACCAAATCTTTAAATTGTTAGCAACGTTTAGATATAATAGAGCCACCATGTAGCAATATTAATGGATAGTGCTTCATATAGCTCTTTAAAAAAATGTTGCCATAAAGGGACACCATCAATTTGAAATAACCGTTCCCTGAAAATGTTGAACTTACAGGGTTTTGTTTTTTTTACAATTAACGCCTAATATTACTACAACTGAAGGAAGTTAGCAGACAAATATTTCTCTAATTTTTTACTTTTATTTGTGCCATCAATAGCTATTAGCCAAGATGGTCAGGGATGCAATCCCATGCTCAGGGTGTCCCTAGCCTCTGACTGCCAGATGCTGGAACTGGATGACAAGGGATGGATCACTTGATAATTTTCCTGTTCTGTTCATTCCCCTGAAGCATCTGGCAGTGGCCACTGCTAGAAGACAGGATACTGGGCTACATGCACAATTGGTCTGACCCAATATGGCTGTTCCCATGTTTGTATGTTTCATGGCACAGTATGGCTAATTGCATTTTCTCTTTCTTGTGATGGCATGACATCATTCTCATGAAGCACGTGCACATGCTTCCCCGGGCCCTACAAGAGGTTTTTCACCAGTAAGAGCAAAGCTTGTGTTATTTCACTTTTCAGGGCAGAAAAGGTGTCTCCTCTTCCCCTGGTGTCTGCACAAAACCCAGGATACAATAAGAGCCTAGTGCAAAAGCCTCCTTCTTTGCTCCCCAACCACCTGTATGGGTCACTGGAGTACCAGATGCTTGGCAGGGGGCTAAGAGAATTCTCCTTCATTCCCTAGACCCAACTGCAAGACAGGGAGCAGCAGAGATCTAGTAGAGCATGCAGGGAAACATCTTTATCATACCATGAACCCCAAAATGAGACGGGGGAGTATCTGCCAGCAGCAGGAAGAGGTGTTGCAAATCTATGCCCCCCGGAAGCATCCAGGAGCAAGTGAAAGAAAAAGCACCTGGCTGGGTGATTGGCACCCTGCAGTGTCCAGGGAGAAGCCAAGAGACAAGAGCTAGTTAGGGAGGAAAAAACAGAGCTGCAAAAGGTCAGGAGCAGCTGGCCTGAGACAGGAAGGCCACTTCCCACCCACTCAGGCTCTGCCTATATTAAGGAAATATGTACTGATGTAATTACATTGATATAGTTACACCAGTGCAAACCTCTTAAAGGGGCTTACACTAGTGCACCTTAATCCAGCAACACAAAGAAGTAAACTGCAACAGGGTAGGTCCTGCTTTTCCTGGTGCAGAGCATGTCCATTAGCAGTTTGTGCTGGCATAACTACCTTGATGTAATTACACCAACGTACATTCCATCAGTATAGACATGGCCACATACAGGACTCAGCTCTCTCTTGCAGGATAAGGAGAGAACAGCAGCCTTATACAAGGCAGCAGGTGGCTGGAAGGGATCCCCTGCTGGAGCTAGGTCAGTGAGTGGAGCAGGCTGGGAAGCAATTTGCATCCTTTGCAGGAGTTGGGCCAGGCAAGCAGCAGCAGCTTCTCCTGCTTCTATTTCAGCTTCCACTGTGGGAGCCAACACGAGCCAGGCCTGGACGGCAATGGGGATCCTACTACAGGCACCAGACAGGAATGTGGGCCAGAAGGTCAGTGGTAAACTCTGCCCCTCAGTGAGAATAGGGTATCCTTGTTCCTGACCTAGATTACTCTGTGGAAGCTAGATGGAGGAGGTGCTAGGAGTGGAGATGGATGGAGCAGGAGCTAGGAGTGTAGTTGGCATCTTCATCCCCTGCTCTGTCTGCAGGAACAAGATATTGGGCTAGGAATACAAAAGGAAGTGGGGATCTGTGCCAGGCTCTTCTATAGAAGCCAGGGTCAGGCTGACTGTACAGCTTGGACTGGCTTTTACTTTTAGCTGTCTCCCTTCCTATGCACAGTCATACTCTTCTGTTTGTGAGGATCATTTATACAGTGAGTGAGAAAAACAATTTTAAATATAATTTCAGAGTCTCAGGGGCAGGTCACCTCACCAGAATGAAGTTACTTCCTTTGAAATTGACTAATTTCAAGTTGACAGTGTTCCTTTAAGATCAGGTATTATTTTGTATTATGGTAGTGCTGAGAGGCCTCAGTTGGGACAAGAGCCCTATTATCCTACACAAACACACAGTAAAAGACATTCCTGGCCCTAAAGCACTAACAATCTAAGCTCCTGGTCCTGCCAACTGATTCAGGAAGATGAACCCCACTGATTTCAGTGATGATTTGTATGGGCATAAGGGCCTGCAAGAGTTGATCAACTTGCAAGATAGGGTCCTAAGTCACAACAAGTTGCAGTAAGTGAGTATAATAAACAAAAGAAAGGAGTGAAGGAGGAAAGACAAGGATAGCAGCGATAGGAACATATGGTTACATAGACTAACTAGGTGCACAATTTCCCAATTACAGATTTTTACTTTTTTTTTTTTTTTTGGTAATATCAGAAATATCTGGTGGCTGCTTGCCTAACCACATTCAGTAAGCAATTTACCACAGGTATCACAGTAGAAGAGAGTCTTGAGGAGGGATTTGCAGGAGTACAAGGTAGTGGCCTTATGAGTTAGTTTGGGGAGGGTATTCCATGAAGTTGTGGCAGTGTGGAAGAAAGCGCAAAGGTGCTTGCAGGAGAAATGGAGAAACAGGCAATCCAGGCTAGCATCACTGGTGAGAAAAATGTGGAGCAGAATGTCAGGTGAGATAGACAATAAAATGTAAGGATAGCCAAATAAGAATGGGCTGTGTTGTGAATGTTGTTAAAAGTAAAGATGAGAGCTTTTATTTGATGTGTTGAAGAAGGGGGAACCAGTGGAGGGACTCTTACGGGGTTGGCATGGTCAGAACAATGACTTAGGAAGACTTATCTTGGCAGTATTGTTTTGAATGGACCTGAGGTGGACAAGATGGATTTGTATATGTTGAACTGTGGGCAGTATTGTTTTGAATGGATCTGAGGTAGACAAGATGGATTTGTATATGTTGAACTGTGGACTTCAGGTTAGCCTGGTCAATTTATTATGATTTGTACTCCTTGTGTAGAAAAAAGTCAAACACTGTAATCACTGGGTATTATGAAATGGTACCAAAAAAATCCTTGCTGTGTAATTATTTCATAAAAAAAGCATCTGAGATGATTAAATACAATTCCTTTGAATTTACCTCCTTCTAGACATCAGTATTAAAATTTCTTTCGTATAGATTGGCTGTCCATAGATACATTTATAAAATATAAAGGGTCTGTTTTCACTTAGATTTTTCAAAAGAGTGTAGTATGTTTTAGTGTACATTGCATTTTGAATCTGTAAACCATAATTCTCTAAAGAACCAACTCATTTTAAATTAAGATGAGTCTCCATGGGTGGATGGCACTTAACTGTGATATTCCATCTTATTAAACTAGTGATATAGGGTAGCCACTTCCCATTTAACAGGAAAATTCCTGACTGTTGCCCCATATCTCCCACAAGGTTTTCTATAGGTCAATTTTGCATTTCTTCTGCTTTTGTAGAACAGTGGGAGATGGTAACATCTAATGAAAATGCAAAGTGTCACAGTAAAATGTCACCTTTCTGAGCTCTCCCCTTTTCATCTAAGACTTTCAGAAATTAAGTGGGTATCCACTCCAGACTTCTCTGCAGGAGGACGAGCAAAGGAATTTTGGTTCCAGTGCTTAGCTTCTGAGAACAGTGGTTACCTTAAAACAGCTCAAATCCAGAAAAGCTAACATATGTGATGGGATATTTTTTAATACCTGTATTCTTCTTAGTATGGGACTGAGAGTTGACATTATGAGAAGTTGATTGTCTTTTTATTATGGTGGGTTGTTTTTCCTTTCGTTTGGACCTTGCCTACTACCCTGATCTCAGTGACTGAGGAATTAGGTAGTAACAGATAGGCATCCAACCACAGGAGTGTAAGAAAATTGTGTGTCTTGAATTGGGAATCACTGATGGAGGAATGAAGGTGTCAAAAACCTGTGCTAGTGAAAGATTTGGTAGGTGGGACTGGAAGTCATTGAGAAGGGTTATCTTTGGTTTCTCGGGAGCAGAGGTGGGGATGGGAAAGGGTGGCAGTAAGGAAGGACTTTCTGTAAGCTATTAAAGTTGGGGACAGATTAAAACACTAAGGATCGATAAAGGGGCTCCCACCTAGAACTCCTTCCTGTGAGCTCGAGTGCAAATTTGTAGACCTTCAGGGTATGCTTCACCCGAGCAGATATTGGGATAAATCTGAGAATATTTTTTCTCTAAATTGATGTTTGGGGGTGAGTGGGAGGGGTGACAAGGAGAGCTGGAATCTATTTCTGGATAAAGCCAACTGGCAAATAGTTTAACTATTGTTTTTAAAACTATATGAAGTACTAAATCTCAAATCTTGAACTCAAGTCCAGCTAGAGGAGCAAAGCTGGGTGTTGAGTAAGAATGGCCATACTGGATCAGACCAATGGTAAGTCTAGCCCAGTATCCTGTCTTTCAACAAGAATGAACAGAATAGGGCAATTATCAAGTGATCCATGCCGTCATCCAGTCCCAGCTTCTGGCAGTCAGAGGTTAGGGACACCCAGAGCATGGGTTGCATCCCTGACCGTCATAGCCAATAGCCATAAATGGACTTATCCTCCATGAACCTATCCACTTATTTTTTTAATTCAGTTATACTTTTGGCCTTCACAACATCCACAGGTTGACTGTGCATTGTGTGAAGAAGTACTTCCTTTTGTTTGTTTTAAACCCGCTGTCTATTTCATTGGGTGACTCCTGGTTCTTGCGTGATATGAAGGGGTAAATAACACTTCCCTGTTCACTTTTTCCACAGTATTGAAGATTTTATAGACTGCTATCATATCCCCCGTTAGTCATCTATTTTCTAAAATGAACAGTCCCAGTCTTTTTAATCTCTCCTCATATGGAAGCTGTTCCATACCTCTAATCATTTGTGTTTCCCATCTCTGTATCTTTTCCAATTCTAATACATCTTTTTTGAGATGGGGCAACCAGAACTGCTTTCACTGTTCAAATGGTGGGCATACCATGGATTTATATAGTGACATTATGATATTTTCGGTCTCACTATCTATCCCTTTTCTAATGATTCCCAACATTTGGTTAGCTTTTTTTTTTTTTTTTTTTTTACTATTGCTGCACACTGAGTGGATGTTTTCAGAGAATTATCCACAGCTCCAAAATCTGTTTCTTGAGTGATAACAGAAAAGTTAGACCCCATCATTTTGTGTGCATAGTTGGGATTAAGTTTTCCAATGTGCATTCCTTTGCATTTATCAACATTGTATTTCATCTGTCATTTTGTTGCCCAGTCAGCCAGTTTTGTGACATCTCTTTATAACTTTTCACAATCAGCTTTGGACTTAACTATTTTGAGTAATTTTCCATCATCTTCAAATTTTGCCACCTCACTGTTCACCTCCTTTTCCAGATCATTTATGAATATGTTGAACAGCACTGGTCCTAGTACAGATCCTTATGGGAACTCCCCTATTTTCTCCATGGTGACAACTAACCATTTATTCCTACCCTTTGTCTCCTATCTTTTAACCAGTTACTGATCCATGAGAGGATCTTCCCTCTTATCCCATGACTTACTTTGCTTAAGAGCCCTTGGTGTAGGACCATGACAAAGGCTTTCTGTAAGTCCACGTATACTAAATCAACTAGATCACCCTTGTCTACATGCTTGCTGACTCTCAAAGAATTGTAATAAATTAGTGAGGCATGATTTCCCTTTATAAATGTTGAGTTGACTCTTCCCCAACATATCATATTCATCTATATGTCTGATAATTCTGTTCTTTCCTATAGTTTCAACCAATTTTCCTGATACTGAAGGTAGGCTTATTGGCCTGTAATTGCTCTGATCACCTCTGGAGTCTTTTTTAAAAATCATCAATACATTAGCTACCCTCCAGTCATCAGACACAGAGGCTGATTTAAGAGATAAGTTATATGCCACAGTTAGTAGTTTTGCAATTTCATATCGGAGTTCTTGGATGAATACCATCTGGTCCTGGTAACGTATTACTGTTTATCATTTTTTCCCCAAACCACCTCTATGGAGACCTCAATCTGGGACAGTAACTGAGATATGTCACCTAAAAAGAATGGCTCAGGTGGGGAATCTCCCTCACAGCCTCTGCAGTGCAGACTAATACAAAAAATTCATTTAGCTTCTCTGCAACTGCCTTGTCTTCCTTGAGAGCTCTTTTAGCACCTTGATCATCCAGTGGCCCCACTGATTATTTGGCAGGCTTCCTGTTTCTCATGTACTTAAAAAAGTAGATGTACTGGGCTTGGTGGGGGTGGGGAGGACCCCTTCGCTTATTCCAAGCTATTTTATGGTTGTTGAGCTGCTCCACAGAGGCTAGTACAGCTCAATGGCTAGAGTAGTTTCTGTGGGCCCTCAGACACCTCCTCTCTGCTCTGAAAGAAAGGATATGAATAAAAGCAGTTCTTCCGGCCCCATTCCTGGTCCTCTCACACCCAGCCCACACACGTCCTTCCTTTTGCTACCCCTGCAGTGCTCCTGCACAGGACAGGGCTCCATGGGTGGACAACAACTCACAGTCTCCTAAATCCAAATCACGACTCACAGCCAGCAAACTCCAGTTCTTCTGAGAAGGGGCCCTCCACAGCACAGATAAAGGAGTTGGATTTGCCCCCAAAAGATAGTTTAGATTCACTTATAATTTTATAAATTGGAACAATAAACAATAGATATTAGAAGTGGAACAGACCACTCCCTGCCAGTACTAGATTGTTCCCTACAGTAGATTTTCTAGCTCTTTGGGAAACATAGCTTTAGGTGGCTTAAGTGCTTTCCTTAGGGTAGACTGTAGAATTCCCATCTCACCATCCCGAAGCTTTGCCTCTTTAATACCACCAGTTACTCCTAGTCATACCCCCTTTTACCAGCCTCTTATGGATGTTTTTGAACACTTGGAAAACACATGGACATTTCCAGAGTTATGTAGACAATGAACTACCCCCTTATTACACCGTACCCCAGAGCTGGGCTGGCTAGGGCTTGGCAGGAGAGGTGGACAATTGCTCAGCAATCTCTCTCTCTAGAAGGTAAAGTCAAAAGGGGGGAGGAGAGCCAGATTTGTTCCTATCTAATAGAGCAGTTTTTTTGGGTTGAGCCCTGTCCCCCCCATGCCAGAGTGAGGGCCCTGTCTGCCAGGGAGGTGGTCTCTCTGAGAAGGCCCGTGGAGCAAAGGGGCTCCTTGCAGAGGCGCTGGAGGGAGCCGCCTATCCCCAGGGCAATCCCAGATGAGGTCCTGTCAAGGAGGGGCATTCCTTCTTGTGGCGGGACCCCTGGCACAAGCTACTGGTCTCTCCTACAAGGCAAGGGGGACGCCTCCGCAGAGGCTCTGGGCGGAAGCGGGGTCTCTCCCAAGGCAGGCCCTGGCTGGGAGAAGGATCCCGGGCAGAGGCCAGCAGGCTGATGGAGGCGCAGGGGCCGCTCCTGCGGGCGCCAGACTCTGCGGGGCAGTAGCTGCTGGGAAGAGAGGGGCCTCTCACCGGCAGATGGGTCCCTAGCAAAGGGCTCCGCTGAGAGCAGCCTCTCCCGGGCAGAGGAAGCGTGCGGTGCAGCGCGTCCATCCGGATGGAGCCCTTGTAACTCCTCCTCTCCTCTCCGCTCCAGCCTCCTGTGGCGGCGGCGGCGGCCCGGCGCTGTTCCCCCTCCCCGGCTGGCTGAGCGCCGCTGCCCCCCATGCGGATGTGACATTTCACGGCGCTACCGCGGCCGCCATTTTGAGAGAGACAGAGAGAGGCAGAGAGAAGCCCTGGCGCCTGCTACGCTCCCCATAGAGGCGGCGGCGGCAGCAGCGGCTGAGCAGCAGCAGCGAGCCGGGCGCAGGCAGCAGGGAGGCCTGCAGGCCGGGAGCAGGGCCCCAGCCTCGAGCGAGCGGCTTCCTGGGGAGCCGGGGGCCCGCGGCGCCTCCCCGACTCTCACCGCAGCAGGGATACCCGGCCGGGGAGGGGGAAGCGCCGGGCCCTAACTCCGGATCTCCCGGCCCCCGAGGAAGCCGCCGCCCCCGGCCGGTTCCCTCCTCCCCACCCCTTCCCCCGACCGGGTGCCGCCGCCGAGATTGGGCGAATAGCGAGCAAATACGTGCGCGTCTCGCTGCCTCCTCCGGCCGCCCGCTCCCTGCCCGCCGGAGCCCAGCCGGAGCCCCCCGAGGCTGGTGCCCAGGCCCCGCCGCTGCCCAGGCCCCGCCGCCCCTCCGCCCCCTGCCCTCCCAACACAGGCCTACAGCCCCCTGCAGGAAAGGCCCAGGCCGCCGCCGCGGAGCCACAGCCCCAGCCCGACATGAACCACCACCAGCAGCAGCACCAGAAGCCCGGGGAGCAGCAGCTGAGCGAGCCCGAGGACATGGAGATGGAAGGTAAAGAGCGGCTGGAGCAGGCGACGCAGGCGGCCCCGGCTCCGCTGAAGGCGCCCGGAGACCCTGGCTCGCCCCCCATTCCCTTTACTCACTGTCCCCCGCGCCCCAGCTCCAAACTCTCTGGTTCCCAGGAATCCGCTCCAGGCTTCTTCCCTACCTAACACGCCCCCTTACCCGTCTCCGGTCCCCTCTTCTACCCCACAACCCACCCCTCTTCCCGGAGCCGCTGCGGGGAATGGAGCAGTGCTGATGGCCTGGCCTCGGGCCGGGGAGAGACCTGGAAATGCCCCCCGGGGCGGGGTGGGGGTGTTACCTGCACTTCTCGAGTGAAAGGGAGAATGGGGGAAAGTTTAGGGTTTGGAAAGTATGGCTGAAGAGCCTCCAGCGTCTGTGTGCCTGGGGCTGAGATACACCAGGGGGGGGTCAGATTTTAGGGTGCGACCCTTAAACGAATATCTTAATTCAGGGAGGAGAGATTGGGGTTCATAGCTGACGTATGGCTGAGGGTGGGGCCCGGGGCCTCCCGAAAAGGGGGTGCATTCTTCGGAGGGCCGGGTATTCCTGGCTGTAGTGCAGGGTTTGCTTTGGTGGGCTGCCGTGACACTCGGGCTGGTCTGTGCTCTGGAAATGGGGTTTAATGGTGGGAGGATGTCTTTTTTTTTTTTTTTTGGTGAGGAGGGATGTTTAGCACTCTCATCCTGTGTGGATGGGAGCATGTGGCGGTCCAAGGGCCCAGTCAATAGGGGGGTGGACTCGCCAGTAAAACCTCGGCTGAGTTAGGACTCATCCAGTGTAGACAGTGGGGTTCGCTGTAGGTAAAGGAGGGGCTGGGGATTCGGCTGGAAAGGGGGCTGTGCTCCCGGAGGTGCGTGACCCTAAAGTGGAAGCTTTCCTCCTAGGACTAGGAGAAGGATTATTTTTAAGGGGGGGGGGGTGCTGATTCAAGGGTATGGGTAGGCGAGGGAGGAGTTCCTAGTAGCGTTGCAGCTATGACTCCTGAATGTGCTGCTGGAGCAGGCATGGAGGCAGGTGATGGGAAGGTTTGTTTTTCTCTCGGTTGATTATTTTCCCCGTAGGTGAGCGATGAACGGTGGGTCATGGGGCCTAGCTATGGATGGTTTTACGGGTTGCTTTCTCAGGGTAGACCTTAGTAATGCCTCTCCCAGCTCTGTTTTCCCCCGAGTGGATCCGGCTCCTGTATTTCTGCAGCCGCCTGCCCGCCCCCCTCTTCTGTGTTGTTGACTCTGAGAGCCGCGCGGCAGGGTTTTGCCTTGCAGCCCTTCCATTGTATCTGCACACAGCCTGCCACGCGAGATGCTCGCCATTTTTAATTGGGGCACTGATCTGAGGTTTATTTACAAAAAATGCATCAGGACGGGGCCTAGCACGGGGTTCTGTGGCATTGTGTAGCACTTACGTATTCATGGGACCCTGATCCTGCACCGTCATGCCATTGCCCAGGAGAGTGTTTTGGAGGGGGAGGTTACTACGTTTCCAGTCTTGCTCTTTACCCCAGACCAGTACCTCCAATGGTCTTGTTTGGGATAAAGTCAGTTGTACTTTTTTATTAATCGTGTTTTTTTTTTTTTATCTAAGGTATGAAGCTTTTAATTTGACTTGTTTCTACAGTAGAAAGTGTGTAAATACATTATCAGAAACAAATAATGAATTCCAGCTGTAACTACCCTCCACTATTTGTATTGTTTATATTAATGGATTTTTGTCTTGCTGATCAAAAATATGAATTCACCTCAGTATTAAAAGGTGTCAATCATTATGAATGCAGGTATTCAAATCAACAAGAACAATGACCATCAAAGGCCTATTTAGTTATGAAATATGCAACAATTGTAGCAAATTTAGAATCTTCTACAACCAATCATGGGTTTGTACTATGATTAATAAAGCCATTTTACTGAAAGTTGGTCGTAGTCACTACTCACTATGTTTAATGATGAGAAGGGCATTCCGTGAAACCCTTCTTTTTTAAAACCTAAGACTTTAGTGCACAATATGATAGATGAAGCACATGTGTGCTTTTTCAGTGACTGGCATTGTTTAAAAAGAACCCCAAAACCTGTCCCCAAATTGCTATATATGGATTAGATTTTTTTCATTGTAACCTCAAGAGACACATGTATGAGGTGAATTGGTTTAAAAAAATACCTGTTCACTCCTATTTGTATGTATGCATAAACATAATGTCTTGTGTATAATGAGTTTTCCAGCAGAATGTGCCATAGCCTCCAGCTATCAGCCTTGCTTTCAATATTTATTTCTAGTCCTTTAGAGTATTGACAGTGTTTAATGGTTCTCAGATTTTTATGGGCTTGATCCTGTAAAGCACTGGGCACTCTGTGGGGTGCTGAGCACTTTCAAATCCCATTAAAGTCAGTGAATGTTAACGTTGTTGCAGAGTTGAGTTCTATAAGCAGAGAGAACACAACTCTTTATAGGTAAGCCTAAGCCTCTTGGTGATCCCAACAATTTTACATTAAGCATTCCCACTTAAAAATTGTATGGATGTATCCCAATTTTGAAATCTCAATGCTCAATTCCAGAAATCTATTCAAGCCCTCATAGGCTGGTAAAATTCACACGAATGGTTCAAAATGATCATATGGACATATTAATCTGTTTGAGAATTTGTTTGCACTAATGGAAAGCTTAACAGAGTTTAGATTCTATACCTTTTTGGAGTGTTTGATTTTCATGAGAAATTAGTTTAGGTGCACTAGATCATTTAATCTAGACTCTTGTTCCCTTTCTACTGAAAGACATGTAATTGCTTATATGTATTCCCTTATTTTACTGTAGAGAACTGTGTTCAACTTTCTAATGTATGGATGTAGATACTTTCCTGAGAAGAGATAAATTGTCTTTGGAAATTGATAAATTATTTAATAAAACTTAGCTCTCAAATCTGACCCTATTTTATGCATGTTAAATGCCATTCTCCATTGAGAGATCAGATTAGATTTAGGAGGTATGTGAAGAATGTATGATGGAAAACTGAATGCACATCTTGACTTTTGAATTTTGTGAAGCCGTCTCACTTATTTGCTGTGCAGCTACACTGGACAGTTTCAAATGAGCAGAATTACAAACAAAACTATTGAATCAGTGGAATTACGTTCTGCCAGTTTGAATGTGACACTTTGTGGATACCTGTCCCTGTTTCTTTCTTTTGCTTTTGTGATCCAGTTGACTCTGTTCTCTTCCTTGAACATCTTGTAGCCCATAAAGTGTAAATATCAGAAACAGTAGACATCCAGGAAGATCAGATTGTAAAAAGAAATACTAAGAAAAGACTTTTTTACATTTTAGTTAGAAAAGAGGTGTAATTTAGTCAGCAGGTATGGAAGTGGCAGCAACAGGGTTTGAAAAGGAGTAGGTATTTATGGGGCCGTATGCTGTGCAATCTACCCTATTTGCCATGTTATATTGAACAGAATAATGTAGTATTATGAGTTGGCTTCATTATACACGTTCTTGACGCATATGGTGGTTGACATTTTTAACCCTATTTATTGTGATACAATATAGTTCCTTGCTGAGTTTACATTTTAAATATAGGATTTATATGGAAAGGTAAAAATAATGCTATTCAGTAAATGCTGACCTTTTCTGTGTACTTATTGTAAGGTCAGCAAATAGTGTTTGTGTAGTATATGCAGCTTGGCTTGTCATTTAAAAAAAACAGTGCTTTTCAGTTGCACTCCAAATGAGACTTGCTGTACTAAATTCTAGGAAAGTTTCGTAAAATCATATAACAAAGGAAAATCTGGGGTCCTGATGTGACTCCTATATAACTTGCTTCCAAGGTAAATTGTATTAAGATCTAGGCATATTCAAAGCACTTGATGCTTATATATAATCCATATAGTGCTTTTACCACTTCCCTTAAGAGACTATTTCACAGCCTAATTGATCTAGAAGGTGTTCCTGATGTAGTTTACATTTCCTTTTATTAATTTCTGCCCATTACCCTTAGTTATACTCCTGCATGTCATAGAAAGTACATTTATCTCGATTATGGTACCCTCCTTAATTCTGTTTAGTCAATTCCAATTGACCACTTTTAATTTTTCCTAATATGTCAATTTCTCTAACTTTCTGGTCATTTTTTGTTGCTTTTCTCAGAACTTTTTCATATCTGTCTGTTTTGAAGTGCCCAAAACTGAATCTGGTATTCCATGTGAGTTCACACCAGAGTCATTAACAAAGAGCAGGGAGGGAAAAATTTACTGTGAAAAGTTGCATCTGCATATGAAACCTAAAATTGCACTTTTTGCAGTATTATCCCATTGCAAGTTCATGTCTAACTTTCTGGTAACTATCATACCTTGATTTCTGCAGTATTTCTTAGGTTTGTTTTATAAACTGTGTTTCTTATGTTTTTTCTCA